AAAAAAAAAAAAGATGACCGGTAAGGGGATCTTAACCCTTGACTTGGTGTTGTCAGCACCACACTCACTCAGTGAGCTAACCAGCCATCCCTATATAGGATCCGAACCTGTGGCCTTGTTATCAGCACCCAAGTGAGCCATGGGCCGGCACAAGAATCACAAAATTTCAATGATGCTGTGGGGGCATAGTAAACTGTGTTGGCTCTGGCAGTGTGACAGCACACATATGTTGGCCACAGATACCTGCTGTCCCTCATGGGACTAGTTGTAATTAGGAGTGTTTGAGTTATGTGGTTCTTAAGGAATGTACCCATGTTATACAGTGTCATTGCCTGTATCGTACATTTGTTTGGAGTGGTGCTGTTTAACAAAGTCCACATACTTGGTAGAAATGAAGAACTAAGGAGAAAATTAGTAACGTTAGTTTCATAAAGCTTGAACAAATGAACTAAAACTTTTAAAATAAAAGATGATTAAAATGCACTTGGAGGTGTCAATACACATTATGGTCTGTGGATGTTTTTGCTTATTCTGAACTTTGAAATTGTCTTTTAAGGAAAGGAAAGTAGTCTGTTTCTGTTGCTTGTAACAGAAATAGCTGAAACTGGGTAATTTATAAAGAAATAGAGTTTATTTCTTACAGTTTTGGAGGCTGAGAAGTCCCAAGTCCAGGGAACCCGTCTGGTAAGGGCCTTGGTGGTGGTGGCTCTACAGCACCGTAGGGTATCACATGGCAGATATGGCAGGAGCAGAGAGTGACTAACTTCCTTTCTCACTCTCCTTTTAAAGCCATCAGAACCACGCCCATGACCACCATTAAACCATCAGTGGATGAATCCATTCACTAGGGCACAGTCCTCACAATCTAATCACCTCTTCAAGGTCCATCCTCTCAATTACCATAACAGGATTCCCCACACTCTTAACACTGTTACAGTGGGGGTCAAGTTTCCAATACATGAAAATTTGGGAGATACAATTCAACCCATATCAGAAGGCCAGTGATTTGGACATTGTGGCTCCTGGTCTCCAGTTTTTTCAGAAGGCAGGACATGGATCTGTCTTTGGCTTTTGCTCCTCTTTGGCCCAAACATGCAGTAGTAACTCTTCATTTAGGAGCCTTTTTATTTGCTTGTTTTCCCCTGGATGCAGCATCAGATGCTCTTGATTTATCAATGGATGCCAGATGTTTCTGTTTCTGTTTCTTCCCGAGATAGGCTTTCATACAGGCTTTTCATTATGCATTTAGCCCTCTTTGTCCCACAGCATGTGCAGGCTGGATATAGTATATATAGTTGTTTATCAAGATAAGAAATCACGAATACATTTTCTTGAAAAAAAAAAAAAGCACTACATGTTTGTGTGATTGATTTTTGTCCTTGATCCTGCACTTGAGTCTTTTGTTTATGGCATTACTGTTTCCGTTCTCCTCTTAGATAAACTAAGTTGCTAAGTCAGAGTTTTATCTCACAAATGATGTCTTAAGAATGGATAAAGGGAGACTTGATATGAAAGAGAATGAAATCAGTGTATGCACTCTTTAATAATAAATCTCATCAATATTTTCCTATCAAAATGAAGCTTGTTAGTTTTTATCTCAGTAGAAATTTGTGGGCTAAAATATAATAGTGATGGAGATGAGGATATCACCCTTCACGCCCATAAAATCTAGGGCTATCAGTAATTTGGTGAATTGGAAGGGTGATCATTTTGGTAGGCCTGCAGTTTTCTGTCAAGGACACTGGAATAATTATAATAAAACTGTTAATGTCTGTCGACTTTTCTCCTATTGGAAGGGGGGTGGCCAGTACACATTATTAGTTTCCTAATTTAGACTTCTTATAAATTATGCATCTGAATATTTTTGCTGGCTCTGAATATAAATAATTCACTTTTTTCCTTTCCCTAGTGAAGAACAGTCCAGACTAGCAGCCAGAAAGTATGCCAGAGTTGTGCAGAAGTTGGGTTTTCCAGCTAAGTTCTTGGACTTCAAGATTCAGAACATGGTGGGGAGCTGTGACGTGAAGTTCCCCATAAGGTTAGAAGGCCTTGTGCTCACCCACCAGCAGTTTAGCAGGTAAAGTCTGGAATGTATTCTGATTGCTTTTGGCAACAATTTATTTAGAATCTGTTTATGGTTTAGGAAAAAACATTTAAAATATTCAGTATGTAAGAACAAATGTTGTGGTTATAGTTGCCTGTGTTATTGAAGTTTCTTCCTGATGTCTTCCCTCAGTAATACCAATTATCCTCACCAGCCACCTACTTCCCATGTCACTTGGTGACACCCAAAACTCCGCTTTACTGGAATGAGTTTGATTTCACTTCTGTATGAATTGACTCCATGACCTCTTACATCAGTCTTCCCCAGTTTGAAAGACTTCTCTTTCAGTCAGCGTGTATCAGCTCCACCAGCAGCATGTGAAGTTGAGTGAAAGGAACATTCTTTCCACTTGTCTTCCCTGCTACTTGCTGTCGAAGACTCACGAGGCAGGTGGCCCTGCCCACTTTGCACCTCGTCTCACCGTCTACTCTTGCTCTCGCTTGCAGCCACGCCAGCACTCCTTGCCTCTCTTGCCTGTGACACTTTTACACCTGCCACCCTCTCGTTTTACTTTTCACCCATCCCACTCTTCCTCAGAGAAACCTGAGTTTTTTCCCCTAGGTCAAACACGGATGTAGGGAGAGATATCCTGACTGCTTTCAGTCTCTGACAAAATAGAGATTACTAGGATTGTAATAATATGCACAGACAACTTAATTAGGGATAGGTTGATTCTCAAGCTAGTATCTGGTGTACTGCTTTGGTTAAATTAACTGACCAAAATTGCCAGATGGAGGATATTTCAATTTAGGGAGGTGAGATGTGATTAAAAGGCAAACTATCACTTTTAGATTTTAGAAATAAATGATTATTAGGATCTTGTAAGTTAGTATACTTAAACTTGTCCAGAATGAATCTTGGTAAGGATCAGAGACTGTGTAACAAATACCAAGCTCTTGTTCTTATGTCAGAAAATCCAGATTCAATGGAATTAAGGTAAAGTGATAGGAGGACAAATAGCCATTATTAATTGGTCATGAAGCGTTGATGGTAAGTCAGCCTCACTTGCTTTAAATACTCTCTCCATGGATGTTGCTGGAAGAACTGTGCTTTATGTACTGATTAGTTTGGTGGTTTACTCAGTATTTTTCCTTGTGTAAATCCTCATTTTATCTGAAAGCATGGGAAGCTCTTAATTTCTAAACTACTTTTGCCATTTTCCTTCTAGTTATGAGCCAGAGTTATTTCCTGGTTTAATCTACAGAATGATCAAACCCAGAATTGTTCTCCTTATTTTTGTTTCTGGAAAAGTTGTACTAACAGGTAAGTTGAAACAGGAAGTAGCATCTGAGAGTTTTAATCTACAGAATGATCAAACCCAGAATTGTTCTCCTTATTTTTGTTTCTGGAAAAGTTGTATTAACAGGTAAGTTGAAACAGGAAGTAGCATCTGAGAGTTCGAAAAAGTTCCAATGATGGCATTTTCTCAGTGTTGAAAAGAAATTTCAGTGTTGGGCCAGTTGGCCAGCAACTTGTAAAAAGCCCTTTGCCCTTTTTTTCTTTTCTTCTCACCTGAACACTCTGGTGAGAAACTCACCCACTAGAGGGAAAGAGAGCAGGGAAATCCAACCACGGCCCTTAGATCAGCCCTTCCGCCAGAGCATGGCAGGGAGGAGGGCAAGCATGACATTGAAAGAGAGAGGGTGTTTTCAGTTGGAATTAGTCCTTTGAACTTTGAGATTCATCAGCATTTTCATTATGAGTCAGCAAAGGAAGATTCATGAGAGCTTAGTTGAAAGCAGCAGTTGGGAGAATATCCGATTCAGTCTTCCCAAGGGATGAGCTGTAGAGTGGGAGTCTGGAGTCACCAGGTGCACTGCTTTTGTAATTAAAAAAATCATTTTAAGAAAATACTTTTTCAAAAACAAAACTGGGGGGCCGGCCCGGTGGCGCACTGCTACAGTGCGCCGCTTGGGAGCGCGGCGGCGCTCCCGCCGAGGGTTCGGATCCCACATACAGACCGGCTGCTCACTGGCTGAGCATGTTGCGGGAGCAACACCGAGGGTTGCGATCCCGTTGCCAGTCCCGGTCCGGTACGGGCGCGACACTGAGGGTTGTGATTCCGTTGGCGGTCCCGGTCCGGTACGGGCGCGACACTGAGGGTTGTGATTCCGTTGGCGGTCCCGGTCCGGTACGGGCGCGACACTGAGGGTTGCGATCCGTTGGCGGTCACGAAAAAAGACAAAAAAAGGAAAAAAAAAAACAAAACGGGGATTCCAAGGGATTCCCCCATTCATTTTTTTTTTTTTTTTTGTCTTTTTTCGTGACCGCCAACGGATCGCAACCCTCAGTGTCGCGCCCGTACCGGACCGGGACTGGCAACGGGATCGCAACCCTCGGTGTTGCTCCCGCAACATGCTCAGCCAGTGAGCAGCCGGTCTGTATGTGGGATCCGAACCCTCGGCGGGAGCGCCGCCGCACTTCCCAAGCGGCGCACTGTAGCAGTGCGCCACCGGGCCGGCCCCACCATTCATGTTTTAAAGCCTCCATCTGTTAATCTAAATGGGTACGGAGAGAATCGTGCCTGCAGCTTTGTTTTCGGGTAATAATTTTACCTTCTTAATATGTTAAGCAATGACATTTCAGGCTCTCAGCTCTACTCCAACTTATCTTCGTAGGTGCTAAAGTCAGAGCAGAAATTTACGAAGCCTTTGAAAACATCTACCCTATTCTAAAGGGATTCAGGAAGACGACGTAATGGCTGTCATGCACTCCTGCCTCCCTCACCCAATTGGTTTTTTAAACAAATCAGTTTTCGTACCTTTAAATGGTGGTGTTGTGAGAAGATGGACATTCAGTTGCAGGTTGCAGCACCAGGTGATGTTCTTCTGTATGTCAGCTGTGGGGTGCCAGGAAGGGGTGTTGTTTCTGCACTGGGAACACCGCGCAGCATTACTGTGACTTCCTTGTACTGTGCTGCTATTTGGGCAGCACTGCCCATTTATTTATATTTAGATTTTAAACACTGTTGTTGAGAGGTTGGTTTAAGGGACAAAACTTTAAGTGTTAAAGTCACCTCTACAGTTGATTGGACTTTTTATTTTAATTTCTTCCCCCATAAACCGCAGTTTTTATATTTCTATGAGAAAAGTAAAAATTTTTTAAAAAGTTGTTTTTCTAATTTGTAACTCCTAGGGGTTATTTTTGTGCCAGACACATTCCGCCTTTCCAGTATTGCAGGACAGAATAGATGTATTAATGAAAACGAATGGCTGTACATATTTTTCTTTCTTTGGAGAATTCTGTACAATAAATACAGTTTATAAAAGTGTTCGATTGTTGTTATAAATGATACCCTGTAAGAGTCATGTGATCATACTGGTTTTTAAAAAGTTGTATTTTAGATATAATGCTTGAAAGAAACCATTTTGGTGTTTATTTTTTGTTTCAGTCAACATTTCATTGTATGTTGCAATGAAGACGGATGAAGTACCTGAGAACTTAGTTGTTCAAGAAACATGTATTTATTACCTTCCATATATTGAGCACCTCCTGTTTCGTAGGTACTTTGCATACTGTGCCTGGAACCCTCACAAAGCAGCAATTAGGTTTCATTCCTGTTTTAGAGATGAGGGGATTTAGGCCCTAGTAGAGGGACTTGCCCCAGGTTACATAGCTAGTAAATGGCAAAAATGGTCTCTGAGCGAGTCCTTCAGGTGTAGACACTGGTGCCCTGTCCACAGTCTGCCAGTTCTCTGGTGTAACATTTTTGGTGTTTTTTGTTTTTCTCATGGAATATCAGGTGGACATTTGTAAGTTCTTGGGTTTCATTTTTGTTTTGTTTTTAATTTGTAAAAGTACAGTTTCAAACAGCTCAGAAGTATATAATCACAAGGGGGAGGTCCTTCCTCTCCCTTCTGCCTGTTTCTGTCCTTTGGTGGTGCTTTTGGTCTCATTTTTGGGAAAAAATGCTAAAGCATATATTCCATTTTATAGCTTTCTTTTCAGTGTATCATAAATGTATTTCCATAATATGGAATCTAAGGAACTCTTATGTACCTTCATTTTTTGAACCATTCCCTTAATTACGGTTATATTCCATTTTATAGCTTTCTTTTCAGTGTATCATAAATGTATTTCCATAATATGGAATCAAAGGAACTCTTATGTACCTTCATTTTTTGAACCATTCCCTTAATTACGGCCATTTATTTATTTATTTATTTATTTTTTAAAAGATGACCGGTAAGGGGATCTTAACCCTTGACTTGGTGTTGTCAGCACCACGCTCAGCCAGTGAGCGAACCGGTCATCCCTATATGGGATCCGAACCCGGGGCCTTGGTGTTATCAGCACCACGCTCTCCCGAGTGAGCCACGGGCCGGCCCACGGTCATTTATATAACCTCCAGTATTTGCTTTTACAGACAGTGCTGCAGGGAACATTTGTGTGTTTTTGTGGACAGATATTTCTGTAGTAAACTTTCCTAGACAAGGAATTGCTGTATTAAAGACTATTTATACATTCTGTGTTTTGATAGATCAGTTCCAGATTATAGTCCAAAGAGAAAAGTGTATGAAGTCCCCTATTCTGGCATTTCCCAATCATTAGTGGTGCCAGTAATGTATGGATTGATTGGGAAGATGACATTCTAATATTATCTACTTCTGTAGAGGAAGAAGTCTCTCTTCGTGTATGTAGATCTTAAGTTCCTCAGTAAAGTTTTATAATTTTTTTCATACAGGACTTTTACATTTCATAAAAATTAATTCCTTAATTCCTAAGTATATTACGGCTTACTGTTTTGTCAATGGAATCTTTTCATAATGAAATTGCTGTTGATATATATTCCTAATCAGTTTACTGAACCCTTATTACTGCTGTTGGTTCTTTAGTTGATTGTATTGAAAGTTCTAGGCATGTAGTCAGCTATAAATAGTGATTTATCTTTTCTAATATTTCTTTTTTTTTAATCTCAGTGTCTAGGACTTTTATATGCATACCTGTATAAAAATATTTTGTTTATCTTAAGGAAACCTAACAAAGCAAATGCACAGCATAATGTGCTAACCAGAGGCAGACACCCTTGCAGCCACCACCCAGGTGAAGAGTGTCACTTGCTGTCCCAGCAGCCACACCTCATGCTCCCATTCAGCCACACCCCCACGTCCCCCCAAAAAGGAACCATTATTCTGACTCCACAGTAATTACCTAAACACTAACAAAGGTTAGTCTTCCACTGAAAAATAATTGGTGTTTTTACGTCTGTTTTAATCTGTAAACTCCCCCCCCCACTCCTGTTTTTTCCCTTCCAGTTTACAGGCCTTTTGGCTTGTAGAGCTTCTTATAGTCTGGGTCTTGCTAACTGAAGCTCTTGGTATAGTTCAGCATGTTCCTTTGTTCTCTGTATTTCTTACAAATTGGCAGCTGGTGTGCAGTTCCTAGATTTATCCTAACCCTCAAGCAACATCTTTGTACCTCTATCTCTGGTACAGTTATTTCCTTAGGATAAAGTACTAGAAGTGGAAGAGCAAGGTATGAGAAATTAGTAATGTTTTTAAGGCTTTAATGTCTGTAAGGTGTATCTGTTACATCCTGCTTCCATACAAATTCCTCTGTATAGCCAGTGCCCAAGCTACAGCTTTCAGCACAGGTGAAGACAGCCAGGACACCTCAGTCAACACTTCTGCCCAGTCTGTCAGCCTTTAGGTAGTTCAGCAGCTGAGGCATGACCTGAGAAGACGGCAACACAGTTAGAATGCTGCTTTAAGGCAGGGAGCACCATCTGCTTTTAAGAGACCTTCTTGGCCAGGGTGATTATAGGAATCCCAGTCTTTCAATCTCCACACTACACAGCAGGATTACAGACATTATGTAATTAAAATACTTAACAATCTAAAAATACAGTCGTTCCTCAGTATCCACGGAGGATTGGCTTCAGATACCAAAATCTGCAGATGCTCAAGTTCCTGATATAAAAGGGCATAGTATTTGCATATAACCTATGTACATCCTCCCATATACTTTAAATCATCTCTAGATTACTTATAATACCCAATACACTATAAATGCTATGTAGATAGTTGTTATACTGTATTGTTTAGGGAATAATAAGGAAAAAAGTCTGTACATGTTCAGTACAGATGCGGTTTTATTTTTCTGGATATTTTCAACCCACAGTTGGCTGAACCCATGGATATGGAGGGCCAACTGTATTTTGCAGTTTCAAAGCCTCTCTACTTCATCTGGCCTTCTGTTTGGGGTCTCTTTTCCATTTGAGAAAATTCAGTAGTGGCTGTCGTTAACTGTTTTTATTACTAATATGCCGTGAAATAGGGCTGAGGCTTGTATTTGGGCAACTCTTAGTTTGTATCATTTAAAATCTGAATAGCAGATTTTGTTAGTTACTGTGGTTCAAGAAACACTAGTAGTTATGCATACAAAAAGTAAATCTGTTGATTTATTTGTATAGACTAGCAAGGGATCTTCTGAGTAGTCTAATCTCAAAGAGTGAGAAGGCAGAACAGCCACCACAATATGAAATTCCTTCGCATAAATCTTGTTACCTCATCATGGGCATCAAGAGCTTTGGCACTAAGAACCAAGCAGAGTTTTGGATTCAGTCCCCATAATTCCTTTTTTTATCCAAAGAAACAAATATTACCCACGGCTTTGTAAGGTTAGTTGAAGAGTATTTCTACCCTACCCAAATGGATTTTGATGCTAAAATTTCCACTGGAGAAAACATTTCTCTTGATGCTTCTTACATCCATTCATTCTAACAAATCCAGAAACCAAGATTAAATAGTAAGTGCTCTAAAATACTCCTTTCACGGACATTGTTGGGTGGGAGGGAGGAGAGGGAGGAGGGAGGGGGGTTTCGGTAATGGGCCACAATAATCAACCTCATTGTATATCGACAAAATAAAATTAAGAAATAAATAAATAAATAAATAAAATGCTTAAAAATAAATAAATAAAATACTCCTTTCACAAAGGATGGAGTCAAAGACCTTAATTAATGGAACAAGAGAATAAGGTGTATTATTTACAAAAGTAATAATCGAGGCACTAAAAATAATGACACAATCAGTCACACTGGAAGGTGGAGGAGGGTCTGGATGGTGTGAGTACATTTCCTCATCATCACAGAAGTCAGTAAGCATTTTCCTATTTCTGAAAAAATAGGAAACTGACAAATATCAGAAAGAGCAAGTTATATAGAGACAGACAACTATCAGAATGAGCCCTGGGGTGGGGCAGAAAACTGCTGATTTTCATTATAGGGCACCTTCAATACTACCATATTGACCCCTGCGCACATATTACTTTGTTGAAGTATTTTAATGTTTAAAGACATAAATCAAGGTTAAACACTAAAATAGTCTTTATTTAAGGTCATACCTGGAATTCAAATATTCTCTTGGCACCACAAGGGCAATCTGGAATATCCTTCTCTTGAGGGATATTTTCACCAGAAATCCAGATGGGGGCAATACCTCTACCATATCTGAGAATCTAAAGTCAACAAAGATCATGTTCAAATCATCAACACCTTACCTAAAAGTTTCCGGTCGTAAGATGTTGTCTTACGACCATGTGGAGAAACTCCATACGTGCCCCTACACTCGACGGAGTGCCGACAGTTCCCCCATCAGAGCTGTCTGTGCCAGTGTGCACCGTTGATGCCTTCTCAACTTCCTAAAGGTGATTGTTTCAGGTTATCTGACTCAGAGGACATCAAAATTGTATTTCCTAGATGATGTTTTACTACCTAATATATTATCAATCATCGTAGTCCTGTGAATTTATGAGGATACTTCAAAAAGTTGATGGAAAGATTGTGTTATCTTTCGATTTTATTTTTCCACAAGCTTTCTGAAGAACCTTCGTATTGTGAAGTCACTAATAAGCCTGTTCTTCCCCATTACCAGGTTCTATATCCAAAATGCTGTCCAGAGTCCATGTCTACCTTCATACAAGAACCTCAGTTAAAATTTTTAAAAGGGACAAATCTCAAGTGAAACATGCTGTCTGGATAAATATCACAAACATAGATAAATTTCATCATAATAATCTTCCTGCAACAACTGAGTGGTTTTCCTGTATTTTGTTAAAAGTTATATACATTGCTAAAAACCACCTTCTTAGTGTTTAGGACCTAGATCTGTTCTTCCCATAAACACCTGGATATTTATTTGATCCAGTGACTGGTTTATGGGAATTTAGCTGAGTTTTCTTTAGTGATTTATGTTTATGGTGAGGGAAGTTTATGGAAATAATGTTGTGTTAACATGTTGTTTCAGTTTTACAAGCCGAAAGTACCCATTGGAAAATGGGAAGGGGGAAAAAAAAATTGTGTGTGTGTGTGTGTATGTATATATTTGCCAATGGTGCCTAAACACCATGTATCTTAGACAACATCTCATTCATCTCTCATTCCTGATGCTCTCTTTAGAAAGTGAATCGTATATGATTAACAGTATAACCTTTAATCTTTCAATAACTATTAAATGGATTGGTACTGCAAAAACCCCTTTCTATATGGCATATCTGTGTGAAGAACTTCTATAACAAGATAACAAAAGTCTGCTTTTATAGACTCCTGAGGAACAGACCGTGCTTACTGTTAAGAGTTACTTCTCAGTGACTATATTCATAAAACATGACTTGAAAAGAACACAATGAGGAGGTATGAATTCTATTTTACCTGTTCTGGTTCAAGGGCTATCTGAGTTTTAAACTTCTGGAAAATTCTATCTTCCCTGGATTCATGTTTTGCCATGGAATCCAGTTCTTCCTCAAGTGCTTCACCTGAAAAATCAACATAAGTATTATGGAAAACAGGAATAATCCCCAGAACTTGACAGTTCACACATGCTGAGGGAACAGAGTTTTAATCATATAGCTTTCCTCATTCATTCATTAAAGCTGATGCTTTAAGACCATCTGAATTTCCAGGTACTCCATGCAGCATTATTTACTATGCAGGTTTCCATTCAGCATTTCTCTTTAAAACTTCATATTAACAGAATGGCCAAGTCATGGGCCTGGACTATACCCAGCACATCACAGTACACAAATGTGAGCCCTTCTTAACCACCATTATCCTTAAGCTGTGTGGACTCTTCAAGTTTCTTTTTGTCTCATACATTTCTAGCTGATATATTCACTCAATCAGTCATCAAATTCCTACGTTCTCCAAACTCCTTCCTGGAATTCTGGCTACCCTCAGCCACTGCTGCCCCCAACAAGCAGGTGTCTCCCAGTATAACCTTTAGTCCTTGTAACATGTATCAAAATATAACTTTGATATCCTTTGAGTTAGATACACTGAAATAACTGCTTTGATGAAGTTGGGAAGGCATTAATGGTGCTCACTGGCACAGCCAAGTCTGACAGGAGCAAAGTTTCAGTGTAACCTTTAGTACACTAAGTGCTATTCCCTCAGGCCACACAGCCTCTTGCCAACCTTTCCTGTGGGAACTCAGGTCTCAGCTAGGACACAGCTACCTCCAGGAAGCATATTTTTTTCTTTTATTTTGGGAAATTTTAAACATATACAAAAGCAGAAATACTGTAGTGAATTTCAGTATCATTTTTGGACCCATTAATTTAAATATATTTGATGTGTTTTAATACACTGCAATTAGTATCTTTGTGGATGTTCAAACTGTCCACCTTTTGCCAGTGGTAGCCTTTTCATATTGGTTCTTGATTCCTTCTGACATGACCCTAATAATCTTTGATACCTTCTTTGATCTCTGGTATAACCATGTTCCAATGTTATTTGAAGATCTGCTGCCCAGTTCTGGAATCAACCACCTCTCCAGAGAGCCTGGAGCTCCTTTTAGGCAGATATGATATTCAGACACCACCATCTGGGCGTCAGGGATACCCAGTGCTACGCAGTTCTGGAATCAACCACCTCTCCAGAGAGCCTGGAGCTCCTTTTAGGCAGATATGATATTTAGACACCACCATCTGGGCGTCAGGGATACCCAGTGCTACAGAGTTTGTCATTATTTCTAGGCCTTTACGGTGGATTAAACACGTGAGTTCATACTGACACTTCCAATATAAATTTAGACCTACAGTTTTTATTTAATCTTATCAGTCTATGTCATCTTTCTCCCATGTCCAACACCTCAGTTCTCAGTAATACCAACATAATTACTCATTTGCTTTATCTCCCAATGTACACACAACGATCTCAAAATAACAATAGCAACAACATCTTTACTGAAAACACTATTTTCTTTCAGTTTTTATTCTTGGGGTATTCCCACTATGGACGACTGTCAAATCACTATGTTCTGAAGTCATTTTTCCTGTGGTTGTATGACTAAATTCAACAGTTTCCCTAACTTTTGATTGTTAAGAACTGCTTTTTAAATCTGATTTTACTTAATAATTATATGAAATACTTGCATGGTTTCACAGTCACATCTACATAAAACATGGCGTATTCAAAGTCCACCTTTTATCCTGGACCCCTTCTCCCTATGCTCTCGTTTCTCCTAAAGGTAAGCATTTTCATGACTTAGCCTTTTTAAAAATAAGCAATAATGCACATGTATAAAGACACATGCACGGCCTCTTCTAGGCAGTTTTTAGTGACATCACATGCATTCCTATGGCACCTGTACTCTTATCACTCGTCACATGGAATTTAACTTCCCTAAGTATGATTTTGGGCCCCTTCTCCAGGAGACTGAGCACCTGACCACTGGGGTGTTGCTTCCTGTTGTATCCCAACTGTCCAGGACAAGCTTGGGTACAAGGAAGGCTCTCAAATACACGTATTTTGGAATGTATGACTTGTATAAACTATAAACCAGTGAACTGACATTCCAATTTAGATTTTGTAAATCTAATTTTGTGGTGGTGAAGAGCTCAAATTCTACAGTCAGCAAGATTTAGGCTCAAACTTATTTACTTAACAGTTATGTGACCAAAGCAAGTAACACCCAGAACCTCAATATCCTCACCTGCAAAATGGAGCAGAGTTTCTAACTTAATTGAGCTGCTAACAGTATTTTAATGAACTCATATACAAACAGCCCTTAGTACAGAGTAAGTGCTAGATAAATGTTGGCTACTCCCAGAACCTCAATATCCTCACCTGCAAAATGGAGCAGAGTTTCTAACTTAATTGAGCTGCTGACAGTATTTTAATGAACTCATATACAAACAGCCCTTAGTACAGAGTAAGTGCTAGATAAATGTTGGCTACTATTATAAAATAGTATATATATATATATATATATATATATAAAAACTATTATAAAATGCCATTATGAAATAAGTCTCTAAGGTATTTGGTCAGTATAGGCACTACCTTAGAGTATGAGCTGTAGATAAACTGACAAAATCATGTATCTGAAACCAGCAAAATGAAAGAGAAACTAACTTTTAAAGAGTCCCTGTTGCACACCAAACATTGTGCTAGGTACTCTATCTCGATCTCAGGCCCAGAGGGACTTGCCAAATTCCCATCACCTTGTGCAGCCCTACCCAAGTGACCACCTGGATACTTCCTGTCTTCATAGGGAGCAGAACGTACATGATATATGACAGGAAGGGAGGTACACGAAGGAAATTTTCACTTGAGGCAGTATCTGGAAATTACAGGTTACAGCCTCCAAAGTGAGAGTCTTTTCCTCTCAGTATCTCTACTGAGCCCTTTCTTTTAAGTATTATACTTAATCACTTAATGAATGAATTTCTGAAACTGACTCCTTACCCATGTTCCGTACAACCTCCGAGTCATCTTCCTTTTCCATGACTTCAGGCATAATCTCATCCTCTGTTTCTGTTACAATTTCAAATTCTGGAAAAAGGAAGTTGTGGTCTGGAACTGTATATTCCAATTGATCTAAAACAAAAAAAGTTCCTAGGATCATTTGTAATCATTTAGTTTTGAGGATGGTCTAATTTTCTATTTCTAAAGTATCATATTGTACATAGTAACAATTTTCCCTAGATTAACTAGTAAATGTATTCCTGGCATTTTCGATTAGGGGTTGTAAATTAAGTGCCTATATTAAGGCAAGACTGGTGACCTACTGAGTGATTAAGACTTCACAGCCTCTTTTTAATAAAGGTGTTCATATTACCAGTTATGAAAATTTAGAATATTACTATGCCTCTTCTAATTTTAACTTTAAGATTATCCTGGAAATAAAATATTTGGGTTGACAGAAGCTGTAAAACTGAGGTGAGATTTAAAAAGGAAAAAAAAAAAAAGCTGACTCACTTGGTTGTGTACAAGCCTGCTTATGTCCTGATCTCCAGTCTAGAACCTGATGTTCCTTACTGCAATAATGAGCACTGTGGCATCTGGAGCATGTCTTGGGGCCTAGGCAGCCACAAACCCTGCAGAGATGTGCACCAGACTTAAGTTGGAGACACACAGATTCTTCTGTTTCGGGGGGAGGATTCTCAGAAGGTGGCTCATATGAGTAAAAGTCATTTTTCCTGGGTAGCTGATTCCTAAAAACTAAGTCAGAATGAGGAGAAAAGTTATAAATATTTTCAGTAAGACAAAAACAACAAAATATTTGAGCCTCAATTCCACATAAGACTGAAAAGACACTTATTTCTTTAAAAAAAACAGAAATAGCTCTCAGCGGGCTTATTTTGTGGAAGGAGAGAAAAGAAAATGAAAAACAAAAATGAAAAATAAGAAGCCTTTAAAATCCAGAAAGAAGTTTGTCTGGCACACACAACTGAGTTGGCTCTTGGAGCTGGTTCGAGTTAATCAAATTAATAACGATACTAAGCATTAAAGGCAGATTGCGAAAACGTGAAAAAGCTAACGGGACCTTTTATCTTTCCATAAAAGACAATTTCTATTACCCGACTGTAACCACCCATACCTAGTACCAATTGGTTAGTCAAAGGGCTGGTGTTACGAATAAGCGTGGGTACAGCTGTGAGTTCATTTGGTAAAACCGTAGACACCGCTGGAAGAACGCGCGAGCGGAGAGCCCGGCAGACCGGGCGGCAGCCGCGAGGAAACGCGGGGACCACGGCCCCGACCCCCGGCCCCTGCCCCGACGCCGGCGGCCGCACCTCGGAGGCCGGCGCAGCACGGTGGCTCCCGGCAGCAGAAGAGGAAGAGGCTGCGGTGGAAGGCGTCGGCGCGGCCGGGCAGCGGCGCGTACACCTGCAGCAGGAAGGCCAGAGTCAAAACAGTTTATTTTAAGATGAAGAGGCTTAATTTATTTAAAATAAGATTCGAGGTTAGATGTCACATCCTAATTTATTTAGACTTGTTTTTTGTTAGCAAGAGCAGATAATCAGTACTCTTAAGGTGTAATTTTATCAATCTGAGTAATCGGTAATAAATGAAATTTAACCTCCAAATTATAGTACCAACTACAGATATGTTTCATTTATTTGGTACCCTATGAAATGATACATCATTTAAAAACATAAAGTATATGCCTTATTTAAACGAATGCTTTAAAAATTGTTTAGATTTGGGACTTCTGTAAGCTCACATTTTATGTGTATTTTTTACAGTAGACCTGCTTCTTTTAACTTGCTGGGTTTACAACAGGAGCATTTGAGACTTATATCTAGCAAGTACTGTGTTAAGGCCTGATTTTGCTGATTGAGTGTGTAACTCCTTGGTGACCCGAGGCCCCTGACGTCGGGGCGAGGCCGCCCGGCGCTCGTGTGGGCGTGGCCCTGCTGGGCGGAGCCGGCTCGTGTGCTCAGGGCCGCGGAGGGCCTGGCGGCACAGCGGTCGGCTATCGCCTCCTCCGCGACCCCAGGCGGGCCCGGCCCAGGAGTCCGCGGGTGGGGGAGCCTCAGGTGGAAGGACCGTTGTCCGGGCAGGGAACCGCGGCGGTAGCCCTCGTAGTAGCGGACATTCACCACACTCACTAAGGGTTACGTTAGGGCCGTTAGGGTTACGGTAGGGTTAGGGGTTCGAGTTAGGGGTTAGAGGTCCGGGGTTTGGGTGCAGGTTAGGGTTGGGGGTTAGGAGTCAGGGGTCAGGATTAGGGTTTGGGGTGGGGGATCTGGTTTGGGCAAGGGTTATGGGTAGGGGTTAGGTGTAATGGGCTGGGGTAGGGGTTGGGCATTGGGGTTTAGGGTGAGGGTTAGGAGTTGGGTTAAGGGTTTGGGTTTAGGTTGGTGTTATGGGTTGGGGCTGAGGTTTAGGGTTGGGGTTAGGGGTTAGCATTAGGGGGTTAGGGTTAGAGAAATGGTTAGGGTTAAGCTTAGGGCTGGGGCTAGGGCCTAGGTTTACGATTTAGGGGTTAAGGTTAGAGGGTTAGAGTTAGGGCTAGGGCTAGAGGGTTAGACGTTAGAGGTTGGGGTTAGGGTTAGAGGATTAGGGTTAGGGTGTTATGGTTAGAGAGTTAGAGGTTAGGGTTTAAGGTTTGGGGTTGGTGTTAGGGGTTAGGGTTAAAGTATGGGTAGAGTTTGGTGAGGAATGAGGGGTTAGGTCTAAGTTTTAAGGTCTAGGGACTAGTGATTGGGGTTAGGGTTTACTGTTCAGGATTAGGGTTATAGGGGGTGTAGAGCTAGGGCAGGGTCTGGAGCTCACAGGCCCCTTGAGCCCGTTGTCCAGACTGGGTCACAAACACTTCACACGCAGGTCTACAGCTTGGTAACAGGAAAAGGTCCTTGGAGCCTTGGGTGTAGAAACAATAGACTTTATTTTTAGACGCGAGCTCAACCACCAGTTGTTCAGAGCCCTGCCACACATACTCGGGAGCACACAGAAATAGCAACAAGCTGAAAGATACTCAGGCATGGGCACTAATCCCACTCCCACACAACTTTACCAAGGATGTGCTGCATCACACCCAGCTGGACCTGAGGCAAGAGGGCCTGACTAAACTACTCTTATTTTCCTCACCGAGGATTAGGGTTAGGTATAGGGTTAGGTTTAGAGTTTTTGGTTAGGGTTAGAGGGTTAGGGATATGCGTCAGGAATCAGGGTCAGAGGGTTAGAGTTAGAGGTTTAACTCCTTTGCTGTGCTTCTTTCTCTTTGTGTTCCTCACACAGGGGCTCCTCCAGACCTTTCCTTCTCTTAAGTCATTGTACTCACCGTGAACTTCCTCACCTTTGGGAGTAGACATCACCTCCACATTTATTCACAATGTTGAAGTCATCAACATGAGAGGTTTTCTAAATATTCTTTCCTGTATCAAAGTCCTGGATCTTTGTTCTTTCTTCAACACTTGCTCTTAGTGAGGACAAAGGTGTCTCTGGCCTCTTTCATATCTGCACTGGCTCCTCTTTCTCCTCCTGCCTGTTCTGAGATGTGGGAGTCCTGTCCAGGATTTGTCCCTCGCTGGCTTCCGTCTTTCTTCCAAAGCTTCATCTCAGGCACCTCTTCATGTGTTATTCAAGGGTAGCTGAATCCCAATTGTTTACCCTTTTTTGCCCTAGCAGTTCTCCAGAACTATTTGTAGATCCCCAAGTCTCCAAGTACTCTCAAGCCTCATTGTCCCATCACCATTACGTAGTTCCACTAGAAGAGCACCCATCACACTGGTGCATGACTGTTTATTCATTTGTTTGCCTGCTGTGTGCACTTCCTGAAGGCAGGGCCTGGGGGTTGCTAGCTACATTTTTCCTCCTCCTCATGCCAGTGGGCTGTGGCAGCAGGCAGGACATACTCATCTGATGAGCATACAGACTGCAAGCCTGTCTCATGTTCCTCATAGGTACACTTCAACTGGTAATTTTTCATTTGCTATTGTTTTGTATGCTATTCTGGTGAAGTTTTGGTTTTTTTTGTTTTCCTAAAACACTGTCGGACTGAATAGGGAGTGTGTCGTTTGAACGTTGGCTCTTGACAATTCGGATCTTTTTGAATACAACCATACTAGACAATAAGTAGTGGTTTCGTTTCTGCCCTATCCCACAAATGACTTTTTAAAATTTTGCATACAAAAAATAGAGAAAATAAAACTTTAGCTATACTACTCTCTAATTGTGGAGAGTCTTTACTTAAACAATGAATATTTATTCCATGTTTCAAATTTTGGGCCCATATACAAGCTATGAGGGAACTTCTTAGATGTGTCAAGGGATTTACAGATTGATACACCTATTTCTTTAAGACATTTAATATTTCAGAATATGTAGCTTCAGGGACATCACCAACATCTTTCTGCATATCCACCATTGTTCTGGTTTTATAATGAAAAGATATTTTTCTGAGGTAATTGATTGAAGGAGAAAATGAAGGGGATTAAGAGTATATACTTGTAGTAACTCTCATATATGAAGGGTCTTCAAAGAGTTTGTGGAAATATTTGTATTACCTTTTTAATTCTATTTTTTCCCAAACTTTCTGAAGTATCTGTAGGGGATTGTAGAAAAATATAAACTTTAGTGTACACAGTTTTGTAACAAATGCTTGCTAATGACATTCTAAGTAAAGCAGCTTCTAAGGGGCTATTAAGCAGCTTCTAAGGGGTTATTGAGATGTAAAGCAGCTTCTAAGGGGCTGTTAAGCAGGAGGCGGGCCCAAGTACACTAAACATTCCAAGAAGGGAATGGCTCCCACCCGGTTCCAGGAATGGGCTAGTTCCTTATCTAAGAGCCTCCTGGCAAGGCCCCAAGGAAGATATACGATTGAGAGAAGCTCCGTTCCTTATCGGGGGTACCAGCCTGCTAAAGCCCACCTGTAAATCTAAAGGCACCACAGATCTACCGGGGTGCCAGCCTGCTAAAGTCTGCCCATAAATCCAAGAGCACCGCAGGTAACTGACAACTCATCCTGTCATAAAGATCTGTTCAGGAAAAACTGTATAAAAAGTGCTTGTATTGTAAACTGGTCGCCGCTTTTGTCCTGAAGATGAAGCAACTCCAGCATGCTGGACTAATAAAACCTCATGTTTATTGCAACAGTCTCTATCTCGTGGTCTTTGTGAGGTGAGCCATCCCGACGTGTGGGATTTGTGCATGGTGCACGGGTCTTACATTATCCTCATATGTACACGCGGATATTATTCATAGACAAACACACACACGTGTGAAGTTGATCCTCATTATTTGTGGATTCCATATTTTCCAATTTGGAAATTTATATCCAAGCCCTAAATTAATATCCATGGGGTTTTTGTGGTTATTTGTGGACATGTAGTGAGTGGTGAAAATTTTGAGTCTCCCTACATGCATGTTCCAACCCGAGGATGAAAAGGGGGACATTCTGCCTTTTTTCAGCTCTCATGCAGTCAACAAGTATCCTTTTTGTAGTCTATATAGTTTTCGCATCTTGTGCTTTATGTTAGTGATTTTGCAGTGTGGAAGTGCTTTCTAGTGTTGCTAAACACAAGAAGGCCATAGTGTGCCTTATGGAGAAAATGTGTGTTATACAAGCTTTGTTCAGGCATGAATTACAGTGCTGCTGGCCATAAGTTTGGTGTAATGAATCAACAGCATATATTTTAAAAGGTGTCTTTAAACATAAAACAAGGTTATGTATTGACAGGTTGAAGAAAATGTTGTAACTGCACAGTCTGCAGGAACCCTGTATTTTCCCTAGGTGTAATGGGTTAATATTTACTAATTTAGTGTCCAGTACTATGAATAATGAGAATCGACTGTGTATGTGTATTTGTTTGTGTGTATGTGTGATATGTACGTGTGTATGAGTGTGAGAGTGACAGAGATCCCCTGGGGTGGAGTCAGCTAAGCTCCAGAGAGAAGAAGAGAACAGAAGAGAGAGCATGAGGCACACAGTTGTGGGGAAGAAGAAAGGAGCTAATGGGGCATGGATACAGTGACAGTTCCCTCTGCTTGCCGTAAAGTGATCACAGAAAGCCTCATTTCTTTCTGCAGTGAGCAGAAATGGTCTAATAGAGTACAGGGTATAAAGGACTATGAAATTAGTAATTCATGTGTGCTGAGTAGTTTTGGAAGTGACTCTAGCACTGCCAGAAAGTTGCTTTGTTCTAAAAACACTGAGGAATTTTGTCTTTCTCTTGTATTTTTAATTATTACTCTGATTTACCTTGGCCATCTTTTTTCTCTTATAGCTCCCTTTGGGTTGTTGTTCTTGTTGTAGTTTAAGATCCAGGAAGATTTACTGGGTCCATGGAGAGGGTTCCTAGTCATTCAACCCAGCACCAGCACACAGTTGGGTTGGGTCCATGTCAAGGTATCTAAACTTCAAAAATGAAAATCAAACCAACAAACATGTTTAGCTCACCAGATTGTAGCAAGCTTGATTTTGTTTTTTCCCTATAAGTTTTTGGGTATAGAATGAGGTAGGGCTTGGAGATGGCAGACTAACCAACTGTTCTGGTAGAAGCTGTCATTTCTTTTAAAAGAATAGAGAGATTAAAGGGATTGGAAACCTTTATGTGTTATTCTTGGGTATGGACCTGTGTGTCCCAAAACAACCCATGCCTTAATGGTATTGTTAGCTTTAATATTCTTTTATAATTTGACCCTGGTCTCTCACTTGCCAGAAAAATGGGTACTGTCATTTTTAAAAGGTAGTGAAATAAGTAGTATTTTGGTAGTGTCTGTGACGCTGACTCTTATAGGTAACTGATAAGTATGAGGTGGTTTTTACTCTCCTAAAATTCTTGGGCAGGGCCGCAATAAACGGGGAAAATGATTACCATTCAATTGAAGTTCTACAAGAAGATTCTTGGTTTGGGAGTAGCTGGGGATATTTGAGTAAAATGCACCTCCTTTACTGCTTTGTATACTTTTGATGCACCGCATTCCAAAGCAAAGTTTATGCAACTGTCAGAGGATCAACTTTTCTATGTGGCTGATCTATCATCAGTTCCTCTTCCCCTGTTAAAAGAAGCTTCTTTTGGGGAAACAGGTCTTCGTTAGTTAATCCTGTCAACTAAAAACCTGCATTTCAAAATAATCAGTAAATACCAAGCAGAAGCTAGCTTTGTTTGGATGATGTCTGTCTATTCTCTAGAAATCTGTCAGACTATATTCTACAACAGTTCTTAGCTGAGCTACTTTCTTAAATACAAAATAATGATGAAAGAATTTTAAGTTCTGAGGTCTGGACTCACACTTGTGATATTGTGGCCTATTCAAACTCCTTAATGTGTTTAGAAAATGTAGTATTTTGACTCTTTTGAAACATCTTTGTGAGCTGTAAAAGACAGGACTAAAAATAAAAATAACATAAGTGCTCTATAAGAAGAGATACATCTGTGCTTCTTGAAGTCTGGAATCTTCTACCTTATATTAAAAATGCAGAGGATCTTCTCCCATAGAGAAACAAATTTAGGATGACAAATTTGTAATTTGAGATTATAAAAGGTGAAAGAAGACAGGAAGAAGATAATCCTGGAGCCCTTTTTATATGAAAAGGAAAACTCACCAAAAATTCAAAACCTTTTATTTTTGTTCTATGACTTAATAATTTTTAGAGTACTGCCTTATAACAGGTCTATGAGCTAGGTAACCAGCAAAAAGGTTCTTGGAGCCTTGATTGAAGTGGGAATAGTCTTTATTCAGCACACACATGTCTGAGAGCTAAGCAGTCTGAAGAGAAACTCAGAAAACTCAATTGCTACAGCAAAGTCCAAAGGAAAAACTGAGCAGCTGCCAGCAGACTAAACATGCTCTATTTTTAAATGTGAGCTCTACCAGCCAGCTTCTGCTTCACAAACTGAAGAACACACAATAGCAACAAACTAAAAAGATTCACTGGTGCACATGCACACTAACTCCACCCACACACAACTTGTTTACAAGAAATGTGCTGCACCACACCCAACTGGACCCGAGTTGAGGGAGCCTGACTAAACTATTTTCTTCACATGGATGTTCTAATTTGCATTAAACATATTTATACTTTAAAATGCCTCATGAATTAAGTAAAGCTTTACTAAAAGCAGATGCTGAGAAATATGAACATATAAATAATTTTGCTATTTTAAGATCATCATTATCTGTTTTTCCAGAGAGCACAGTCAGATGAAGCAGGAAAAATGGAAAAGCATGCCCAGTCCTCCATGGGAAATGCCAAGTCTATGGACAAACCCAAACAGTAAGCATGCCTTAGGACCATGCAGAAGGCATCCAGGCTACAGTGGGCTCTCTCCATGTAGAAATGCAGCCTTCAGTGCATACTTGTATGAAT